GAGGGCAGTTTTTCTTTCATTGCCTTCTTGCCTGCATGGTTTCTGTTGAGAGACCCAAGCTTAATCTGATTTGCTTGCCTTTGTATGTTACACTTCTCTTTTCCCTAGCTGCTTTCAGGATTCTATCCTTATCTTTGAATTTGGAGAGGTTGATTATTGTATGTCTTGGTGGTTGTCTTTTAGGGTCTATCCCTCCTGGGGTTCGCTGAGATTCTTGAATGCTTACCTTTTCGCTTTTCAGGATGTTAGGAAAATTTTCTGGATTCCAGAAGCTCTTCAATTATCGCCTCTATGGACTTGTATGATTCTTCCTGTTCCGAATGCCAATAATTCTTAAGTTATTCCTCTTAAATGTTGTCCAACATGAATCTTAGGCCTTCTTCAGATTTTTTTTTATCCTTTTTTGTGTTTGCTCTTCTATCTTAGTAGTGTTGACAGATTTATCTTCTAGCTCACTAGTTTGGCTTCTAACTCCTCAATTTTATTCCTTTGCCCTTTCAGTGTATTGTCCATTTCTGATATTCTATTATTAATCATTTGGACCGCTTTTACAGATTTTCAATTGTTTCCAATGCTGCATCTATTTTATTTGATTGTTCCTGTAGCTCTTTCCTGACTTCTTCCTTATTTTTCTCAACTCCATTGTATAGTGTTTTGATGAATTTTATAATCATTTTTCTGAATTTCTTCTCTGGCATTTCCAGAGCCTGCCCATCTTCCAGTATGGAGTGTAGGTCTACTTCTAGCTCATTTGCCTCAGTCACTTTTATCTCATTTCTGGAAATGTGCAGATATGGTCATCTGCTTCTGTTTTTTGGGCATATTCAGGAGTTATCTGTGACCTTCATTGACTCCAGGTAGGTGTGATCAAGAGATGGCCTTCCCTTCTTCCTGAGAAATTTCAAGATGCCACTGTTGGTCGTTGTGATGTAGGATTTAATTTTCGGCCTATTTCCTTTCGAGTATGCCTGTCCCGCTTCACAGGCCTTTTTCATAGTAATAAACAGTTCCGGGGCAGCTGTGGTGGTTTCACACAGCTGTTTGGTTTTAAGTGGAAACTGTCACTTTAAATTTTGAGGAGATCTGTGTACATGTGTAGTAGAACCCTCCAGGGGTGAGACTGGGGTATCCACTTGCTCAGGCACCACCTCTAGTCACCAGAATGGAGGTACACAGACAGCGAGAGGTCAATGAACAGATACCAAAAAAAAAAAAAAAGACTGTCCACACCTTTATCTCCATGCTTCTGTCAGGCGTCTGTGGCTAATCTGATCCTTCCCCTGCTTGGTTTCTCCCAAGATGGAGGCTTCGGGAGCAGCTGAGTGTCTTGGATTAGAAAGCAATGGATTTCTTGCTTCTGCTACAAATTCCCCTAGCTGTAAGCCTTCCAACCTTCTAAATATTCCTTTATGTGTGGCTCAGAGTTCTTGGACCATTCCCTGAGCCTGCTTGGTGTGATATTCTGTGTTGCTGCTGACGGAGCTCATCTCTGCACTTCTACCCAATCTGCCTTCTTGTTTGTTCTCTCCTATTTTTATTTTAAGATTCAATTAAAATAAGAACTTTTGGGGAAAAGGGCAAATAAATAGGACAAAAGTAATTCAGAAAATTGAAGATGCTTCTGAATATCAAAAAGCAACTTAATATTGTAAAAAACAGTATCATACTAGGACAGTCAGATATCAAGTAAGTAACAAAGAAAAATTCCAACTCTTGAATCTTGTAAAGGCAGGTTTTTGGTTGTTTTAAAGTAATATTCTGTATTTTCACTGAAAAGTTTACAGAAAAAATTAGGGTTCAGTGATACTGGTTACGTTTCCCACAATGTGTCAATATTTTCATTAATTCCATTCTAGTTGTTCCATTTCCAGGAATCTCGTTTCCCTGACTCCTTACTTTCTCATCTTTGCTTTGTTGTTGTTAAATGCCACCAAGTCTGTTCCAACTCACAGTGACACTGTATAGTGTTTCCAAGGAGTGGCTGTTGAATTTGAACCACCCATCTTGCAAATCAAACCGACCCTGCAGTCTAGTGCTTATCCTAGTGCCACACCAGGACTCCATCTTTGCTTTAAGAGTTGTTAAATCAAACAACTAAAATAGAAATAATGAAAATGCTGACACACTGTTATGTCACAGAATAACATGTATAAAATTGTTAAATAAGAATCTAATTTGCTAGTAAGTTTTCTCTAAAGTAATAAAAAGCATTTTTAAAAAAAATAATTATTGACCATTTTGTTTCATATGTGATTTTATTCTTTATATGAGTCCGTCTGTTATTTAGCTAAAGGGTGACTTCAGAGGAGAGTTCTGAGTCAAGGCTTAAAACAATATCTCAGTGCAATAGTCTTGGGGCTTTCCCTAGTCTCAACTGTTCCAATAAGTCTGGACTTTTTAAAAATTTGAGTTCTGCTCCAAATTTTTATCCCATTTTCTTGGAATCCATCTATAGTTGCCATGATCAGAGTGGCTGGTAGTAGTCTGAAGGTAGATGAAGCTGCGGTCCATGTAGACTACTACTCCTGTAAATTAGTTTATTGTTTTGAGTCTTTTGTTTCTTTACTTTTACTTTGGATGAGAGGTAAAGATAGGTTAACTTCAGAAAATTATTTCCACCTGGGACCTTAAAAAATTTGAAGTCAATTTTCAAAGTATAAAGCTATAAAAAACACTATTTGTTTACTTAATTTTTTTCAGTTTTTGAAGTGCATCTACATTATTTTCAACAATCTCTGAACTGAGATTTTAAATTAAGGCAGTTTGATGATTTCCTCATTACTAATTTTTACTTTTTAGAAACCAAATCATATAACAATCTTTATCTAAAGGGAAAAAAAAAATCTCCTTAAGATTCTTCAATGTGTTACATTTAGTGACTGTGCCTCAAAAATAAGTGAAACAATAGAAACTATGAGGCAAGAGAGGATGCTGCCACAAAAAGATTTATGGAGTCAAATGGTCCCAGGTTTGAAATCCTGTTCTGATCACTTATCAGCTAAATGGCCTTGAGCAAGTTACTTCGCCCACTCATCCAACAAATATTTAGTCCATATATTTATGTGCTAGACATTGTTCTAGGTATCAGGAACAGAACAGTGAACAAAATAGACAAAGTCTTTACCATTATGGAGTGTATATATCCTTTAGTTACTTCATGTTTTTAAGCCTAAATTTCCACCTCTGTAACATCATAAAATTAACTTCATTGGAAGTTCTGCAGATTAATTAAGATAATGCACATAATTTCTCATGGATACCTTGTGAATAAAAGCATTTTAGCATTCAAACAGCACTAAGTAAACAATAATCGTGATTGTGTAATAATTTTCTTCTCCTATGTTTATTGCATTTCCAAACGCCCGTCTTTACATAAAAGTCAGATGTAAGGGGAGTTGGAGATGCAAGAGGAAAGAAGTAAAAATAAAAGTTGCAAGGCAGCCCGAACCTCACCTTCTTTTCAACACTTCTCTTTTCTCTATGCGGTTGAATAGTTCTTGTTCTCTCTCCTTCTCTGTCATCTGTTCCAGACGGGCCCTGTCTTCCTCATCTCCCATGAGGTCCTCTCCATAGCCATCATGGAATTCCTCATCTTCTGAGGAAGAGTCTGAATCTGAACTGGAGGAAGTGCTATTGCTATCAGAATCTGACACTTCACCTGAAAAAAGGGTCCAAACACAGGATTAAACTATGCTGCAGAAGACAGAGGAAACATATAACCATTTATGTGTTGTAATCACTATTGCTTGCCTCTCCCAGGTAAAGGGGTTCACAGTCACTTCAACTCCCTTGGGACCAGTTTTCAGCCTGCTTTTGCTAAGTGAAATATAGATTAGGAAAGTTTAGGCTGGAAGAACACACCAACTTGTTCTTTACAATTTAACTTTTTATTCTGAAATCTTTCAGATCTATAGAAGAAAGTTGCAAGAATATTTTGATTCCCATACATTCTTAAATTCAATTACATTAACATGGCCAATTTATTTTCTCTTTCTACATATATAAAATCATGTATATGGTTTTAGATATTTTGTAGAATAAATTAAAGAGGTCAGTTTGTCCTACTGTGATGGCTTGCATGTTGCTGTGATGCTGGAAGCTATGCCACTGGTATTTTAAATAACAGCAGGATCACCCAACTTTCTGCAGAGCTTTCAGACTAAGACAGACTAAGAGGAAGGAGAAGCAGACTACTTCTGAATGTTTAGCCACCAAAACCTTAGGAACAGCAGCAGAACATTGTCAGACACAGTGCCAGAAGATGAGCCCCTCAAGTAAGAAAGCACTCAGAGCATGACTCAGAATGAGCTGCCTTCTCAAAGTAGAGTTGGCCATGATGATAAGAAATGAGTAAAGATTTTGGGACCTTCATTTTGCTGATAGAGCACAACTCAAAATGTGAAATAGCTGTAAACATCCATTAATTGGAATGTGGAATGTACAAAGTATGAATCTAGGAAAATTGGAAGCTGTTAAAAATGAAATGTAACACATAAAGATCAATATGGTAGGCATTTGCTGAGCTGAAATGGACTGGTTATTGGCTATTTTGAATATGACATTCACATGGTTTACTACACCAGGAACAACATATTTAAGAGGAATGTCGTCACAGTCATCATTATCTTGAAGTACAACGCTGTCTGTGATAGTATAACCTCCATACACTTACAATGAAGACCGGTTAATAGCACTATTATTCAAATTTATGCACCACCCACTAAAGCCAGTGATGATGAAATTGAAGACTTCTACCAACTTCTTCAGTCTGAAATTGATCACATATATAATCAAGATAATTAGTGATAATTACTGGCAATTGGAATGCAAAGGTTGGAAACAAAGAGGAAGGATCAATAATTGGAAAATATGGCCTTGGTGATAGAAATGATGCTGGAGATCACATGATAGAATTTTGCAAGACCAATGACTATTTCATTGCAAATCCGATTTTTAAACAACATAAAAGATGACTATACATATGGACCTCACCAGATGGAATACATAGAAATCAACATAACTACATTTGTGGGGAAGAGTGTGTAATAATAGCTCTAGACCATCAACCAAAACAAGGCCAGGGGCACTGTGGAACAGACCAGACCATCAATTGAATAGACTGATGCTCAAGAAAATTAAAATAAGTCCACGAGAGCTAAAATATGCCACAGAACATATTCCACCTGAAATGAGAGACCATCTCAAGAACAGATTTGATGCATTAGACACTAATGACCAAAGCCCAGAAGAGTTGTGGGATGACATCAAAAACATTACAAAGGTTCTGAATTTAAATAATCAATGTAACTTCTTCTTTACACTTCTCCCATTTTTCATGCAGGGAGCTCTGGTAGCATAGTGGTTACAAATCTGTCTACTAATCTCAAGGTCAGCAGTTCGAAAGTACCAGAGGTTCCGAGGGAGGGAAAACGATGAGGCTTTCTGCTCCTGTAAAGATTTACAGCCTCATCAACCCTATGCAGGGTTGCTATGAGTCAGAAATGACTCCAACGGCACATAACCACCGCCACCATTTTTTTTTTTTTTTAAATTAAATGTTTTTATTTTGCATTGAGTGAAAGTTTACAGGGCACATCATCAGCTTCACCGCCACCATTTTTCATGTATCCAAAATTTATAAATTAGAAACCTTTAAAAATTTTAATTAATTAAAAATTTGTGTCCATCAAACCTATATATATTTATAAGTGTAGTCCTGTTCACCTTCCCACTCCTGTTCATCTGGAATGTCTATGTATCCATTCACAGATTATTCTGTAATTACAGGATTGTGTGTAATACTATTTTGTTGCCTTTAAACTCTCGGGTTTCACTCAATGTCTTCCTTTGCCTTGAACATTTTGTGCTGACCTCCTCCTCCTTATTGTATACTGTCTTTCAATTCACTAATGTTTTATGTACCTACCCTCTAGTTAGTGATTTGCTCTCATTTCCCTTCCACTCCTGTTACTGTTGTTGTCAAGTGCTATCAAGTCTGTTCCTACTTATAGTGACCCTGTATAGGGTTTCCAAAAAGCAGCTGGAGAACCCTAGTAGGAACCTTCAAACACATGAAATTTTTTTGTATGTAAAGTCTTTACTTTTTACAATAGTAATCTCATACAATATTTGTCCATTTGTGATTTATTTTTTGATTTATTACCAGTCAAGGAACGACTGGTAGATTCTAACTGCTGATCTTACAACTGTCAGCTTGTAATGCACTCAGCTACCATGGCTCCATTCCATTGTGTAATGTCCCTAAATATTTGAAGAGTATAGGCCCACTGTTTTTCAGAACAGCACTGTTAAGAATTTTCTATGGCAATTATGAAAATAGTCTCTAATCAGATCTATCCAATACAATAACCAACTACATTTAGCTCCCAAGCAGTTTAAATTTGGCTAGTGCAACTGACAAACAATTTCTAATTTTACTTTTCATTTACTTCATGAAAATTTAAATACCAACAGTTATCAGATACCTCCCAATTTGGGTTAGTTGGTTTGTTTCTTCATGAAATGATTCAGGCCATACATTTTTTGACAAGGATATTCCATGTGATTGTGTCTTTTCCAATGAATAACATCACTGGTGATGTTAATCTGGAATAATTAAAGTCATATGGTAAAGTGAATTATGGCTCTTCTATCATGGTCTTTTCGCTATGAGTCGGTTCCGACTCCACGGCACATAACAACAACAACAACAATCATGGTCTTTAAGGAGCTCTGGTAGCATAGTGGTTATGAATCGGGCTGTGAACTGCAAGATCTGCAGTTCGAAACTACCAACTGTTTCATGGAAGTAACGTGAGGCTTTCTGCTCCTGTGAAGATTTACAGCCTCAGAAACCCTATACAGGGTCACTATGAGTCAGAACCGACTCCACAGCACATAACCACTACCACCACCATCATAGTCTTTGGATGGGACCAAGCAATAAGTATAAGACTCTAGTATGGGCAGTTTAATACTCAAAGAGGTTCCAGCATACAATGATGATTTGGGGGGGCAGGGGTTATTATTATGACGTTGATAATGGTGATTTTCTAACTATCATTTTTCTACATTTATTAGTTGGCATTAAAAAAAAAACAACAATATTTTAATGAGTCATTAACTTGACTATTGAATTCCCAGTGACAATGGATCATGATAGCCAAACGATAGCAAGGAAACAGACAGTATATATTATTAACAAATACTAAGTTAAACAGTTTCATAAAAACTGCACTTGACTCAAGCCGAGCCAACATTTATGGAGGCATGTGCTTAAAATTAAAACCATGCTTAGACAATTTTGTACAAATCAGCTTATATAATTTTTTTTTTTTTTTAATGGAATTGAAAGCTTATCACTCTAGTCCTGGAACAAGTTCTTTTCTCAAACTAGTGTTAACCAAAGATTCTGGAATTGGTTTCAAAAGAACATTTTTCAGTGAATTCTGTATCTGGCTTAAAAAAATTGTTATATTCAGTGAGACCATGTAAAACCAAGAAAAGGGGAATGAATAGAAAACACTCAGCTAATGAGTTGGTCAAGATAAAATTAATGCCTCATGAGTTCCATGGCTATTTTTCAAGGGTCTCACCAACTCCTAAGAATTGTATGCATTTTCTTGCTTTATTCAGATTCTAATGGCTTCATAACCATTAAATAGGTTACATGCCCTTGCTCTAAAGGCAGAAGTCAGTCTACAATGCAAGCAACTTCCCTCCTGGTTTCTGACTCTGCATCATCAACTAGACAAGAGAAGAGATTCACTACCCAGGTCCCCACCAGCTCACCTTCCTCAGGGGCAGAGCTCTCAGCTGAACTGTCTTTGTCCGAACTGCCTGAGGAGGCAGTTTTGTTGGCCTGTTTCTTCATGGTTCCTTTCTTTTCTGTTTTTCGGGCTTTTCCTTTCTTTTTATTTTTATTACTGCCAAATGTCCACTACAAGAGAAAAAAAAAAAAGAAAACTAGGAGTAGGCATTTAATGGAGAAAACTGCAGGATTGAAGAATTTTTATTACAATAGAGAAACAAAGATTATTCACTTCATGACAAGTCAACTGAGTAAAACGAAACTCAGCTGGTAAGGAAAACAGCCTCCATGGTAAGAAGGTCAATAATTGCTAAAGGTTGGTATATCTGGGTTTCAGTACACAAACAATAATTTAGTTCTGGACTGGGTTTCAGAAAGATATGAAGAAGCTTGTTCTCAGAAGAAAAATGCAGAAAAACACAGGGAGAAGGACCACTTTTTAACATGGTACAAACTAATAAGCTCTAAGGAAACAAAGTAAATAGATAACTTTGTTATTGTTGTTAAGTGCCATTGACTCAGTTTCAACCCAGAGCCGAGCTGTATAGGGTTTCTGAGGAGCAGCTGGTGAGTTTGAACCAATGATCTTGCAGTTGTATGGGTCATTTTTTAATGCTGTGTTATGCCCAGAATTCAGGGTCCCCAAAGACCACCCAGGAGC